CATCTGGTTTCTGATGTGGGCCATCTACTACCATGTAGTTTGGTCTAGCTTCATCCTCTTTTCAGAATGGGGTGCTCAGTTCACACAGCTGCCTCCTCCTTTGGCCACAACAACTACTCCTCAATTGCACATTCTCACTCTGGTTTAAGATTTAGGACAGAGGTACAGATAAAGCCTTTGTTCTACCTCAGGAATTCCTCCCTTGGTTTTTTTTGCTGTACATACTAACCATCCCTCTGTCTCCACATGAACCATTCCTGAAAGCAGCCAGCAGGGACATGGCACCAGGGTGGAGATGTGAGACCCACGATGAACAATAGTTGAGGATGGGTCTAGATTCAGCAATATGTTTTTATTTTCTCATCCCATAGACTTCTGCTATCCTTTCTCACCTCTCTCCTTGCACTTCTCTTCCCTCCTGACATTTAAGTCTAAATTTTTCATTTACTCCTCACAGACCTCTTCCACCTGCCTACGTCGCCCAAAGCCCACCAGTCTCACATTCCTGCAGCAGTATCTTTTGAAGATGACCAAAGAGAAGGAAAAAGAGGCAAGACACGCTGAAGAGGGAGGAATAGGCTTTGCTAAAAGAACACTTAGGAAGGATAATGGAGGTCAGAGAGGGAGCAGGGTACAGCAAACGCATGTTGTAATTAGCCTACCCAGGTCATTAACCATGGCACTTTCTCCATGACACACTCCCTTCTTCAGGTCAAGAGGGTTATCTGATGATCTTCAAATGCTTTGGGAACACTGAACTACACTATGCAAGTGGATTTCACTGAGGAAAATGAGGTAACAAGATTTTGTTTCCTCTACAGATAAACATTTACCTTCAAGCCCTGGATCTTTATTAAAATGTGTCAGATCCCAAACTTTAATTCAGTAGCAAGTGATTTGCATTAATGCCAAGTCTTATGCTTTTATTTACTACATTTTTGGCTCACTTTATAGGTTTGCATTTTTCCAGAACTGCAGATATGCAACTGGGACATGTTAAATAGGTGCTGCTTGACTGGCACCCATATGATTCAGCCTGGCTCCAGGCTCCAGGCTCACTGGCTCTGGCCACTGCCACGCCGCTGCCTCACTGCCCCATCAGCCACAGCACACACCTTCTGCCACCTGCCCTGGCTTCTCACTTTCCTGGGTGGCAGGAAGGCAGATGGCACCTGAGTAACGCTGAAGTTAGTCCAAAATTAACTCGACAAAACCCCCTTGAACACATTCAAAACTGCCCGGCAAGTCTTACTGCCGCTAATACCAGATGCACTTATCACTACGGAACAGCAGAGGCACTTTAAAAAAATAAAAAACAAACCGAAACACCGCACACACCTTTACAGTAAGCACCAGGAATCTGATCCAGGCACACACTCATCTCCCTTGATTTTAACAGGCTTTGGACCAGTCTCCCTTCTGAGAGAGAAGCGATCGTCGCCTGGATGCAGAAATGCTCTAACACAGCCCCTGGTGAAGATCACAAGTGTCAGACTGTCAGGAGGTGCCACCCTGCAGCAGGCGTAACAGAAAACCAGCTCTTATCTATGTCTACTTAATCCGATAAACCAACATATGTCACCTTCACCAGCAACAGCATGGATCTCAACGGAAGGCAGACCAACCCTAGATAGGGCAAATCTTCACTGTCACACCAAATTTCCCCGTGGAAGCAAAAGCAGTGGATGAGCAAGCTTCTGCTTTTTGGAGACTCAAAATACAGCATTCTTACACAAACAATACTGTGTCTGGAGCAATATGATCTACTCATGTTGGTGCAGCATGCAGGAGCTCTAAATCATGCCAGCATTGTGCTTGGTGCTGTGCGAAAGCAGACACAGACAGAGAAAACATGGCTTGTCTGGGGGATCCAAGCATCCAGAAGCGGTGTCTGCACCAGAGGTCAAGTCACATTCATTTCAGAGAGGCTCTGGCTCCCCAGTTTCTGTGTCACTTTCAAGGATGGAATGTAAATTACCCAGATGATTTGGAAACAAAAACCAAACCTCAGTATCTGGCCAAAGTTTACATCTCAAAAGCAGAACTGAAAAGGATGAAATCTGGAGCAAAAAGGTGGAGGGGGGAATAGTCTTTTAAAGGAAAGAGACTCCAGTTTTTCAAACATCTGGTTCTGGACCGACCAAAACCCAAAACAATCCACAATAGAATATAAAAAAAAATACTTTGCACCAATGTAGAATGGACGAGGTGAACTAAGAGCTTCCTCCCATCTCTGTTTTCCAGTATTTAGTTCCTGGTTTTTATTATAATTTCTCCTTTAAGTAGTTTGCAAGCGATCATGCCAACATCTTAATTCGTTGATCTCAACAGGATATTCTTTAAAAGATGTATTTATTCACTTGGGAACACACTAGTGTAATTAGCCTTGACATTTCAACAGTCTGATCATATACACAGAGTCCTCTATGTGCTTTTAAGGCAAAAAGATCTCTGAACCAACAGGGCAAAAGAGTCAAGATGTGAATTTTGCAGGAAACTCATGGATATTTTGTTAAACAGTCCTGACCATTGCAAGCATGAGTGCCAAAAACACACAAAGTCAAAAGACTGATGTATTGTTAACGGCACTTCTAAATTTAGACAGAGTGGGTTTTTTTGTTTTGGTTTGTTGGGGCTGCTTTCCCTCTTTTGCCTTACGATATTTTCCATGGTAACTGCCTCCCCACCCCACCTATTCACTGCTTATCCCTCCCCCTAAATTTACATGTCCAAAATACAGTCTGACCATGCTGGAAAGCAGGAGTCTTTGGTGGGAGTGCCGTCAGGGAGTGGATTTAGGTGTGCCAGCAGCAGCAGGGCTGCCTCGCAAGAGGGGAGGCTGAAGAAGGAGTCTGTTAATGGAGCTGGGCTGCACCAACCTGGACAGAGTTGACTCCACTGCAAAACACGGCAGTGTGACTTGTAATGCCCCCCTGGGGACACCAGACCTACATTTACATCAGCAGCCTTCAGAGCAGTCTCTGAAAGCACTTTCACCTTCTCACCAGGCCAGTAGCTGACACCAGCACTTGTACCTGGCCTGGCCCGACTGGAAGTTCATTCAGAGAACACAAAACAGCAGGGGAAAAAAGAAAAAAAGGGGGTTCTTTTCTTAGTTCTTTTTTTTTTGCAGTTGAATTTCCAGCCTGGCTCACCATGGTGTCAGATGAGCTCCATGGAGAGCGTTGCCAGGGACCAGCAATAGGAAGAAGAAAGTAGAAACTGAATTGCTTTTTAGCAACAGCTAGTTGGTAAATCAGCTTCACTGCCACATCCACACACCCCCAGCCTCGCAGGAATAAGGTCTACTGCATGCGCACAGAGGCACGCCATGGGTAGGCCAGTTTCCTCGCAGCATCCCAAGGCCGTGCTCCCAGAGAATGAGCTGCTATCGCCACCAGTGGGAACGCCGCAAGGCTGCGGGTTCTCCGCCTGGGGTCTTGTAGTGTTAGGAAGTGCTGGTTGGCATACACGGAATTATCAACATGATAGAAACCAGAGCTCTTTTAGAGCAAGCAAAAAACCCCAACAAGGAAAAACAAAAAAGCACCGCATACAATTAAAAGAAAAACCAAACCCACGGGCTAGAAAGCCACTAGGCCGTGTCAAAGGGAGCGAGGACTACCAACCACCTCCCAGTGCATTCCAACATACTCAACTCCCATAGGTTTCTTTGAAAACACTTTGACTCAGTCCTACACATATACTTCTAAAACACTGCAGCTGAATAGTTCTGCAAAACATTGAGTAATAAGCAAATTAAACTGTGTATTTATAAATTAAAGTGTCACTAATTTGAGCCCTGAGGCAGCAGGCATCGGAGAAGGAATCGAAATCACATCGCTTCTTTTCCTTTATATTAAAAATGTCTTATTTGGCCTCCATATGTTTGTAGTTGGCTAATTTACCCAGAAGAATTTCTCCTTCACCCCGGGGTGGGGCAGGGGTTGGTGGTGGAATTAAAATCTCCAATTACAGGGTTATCTACTACAAGAATGCACACAGCATTTTCTTTCTTTATCCTCTATATGATGCAAGAGGGACAGCCTCAGAAAAAAGGCACTATAATTTCTCCATAAACCACATCAGGAATAACTGTAAAGATCTGCTGAAAGGTCTTAAATGTTCCTGAATCCATCCTGCATTCCTTTACCCCATTTCCCCACAGGACCATGCAGTTCAGCGTACAAGCTGAAACCATTTCAGAGGAGCTGAGGGCAAATAAAGACTTTTTTTGGCAGAGGACCTCCCTCCCCCGTGATTTCCCAGGGAATGCTTTTCACTGTTTGCTACTGAGAAGAGACTGTTAAAGCTGAGATTGAACTTCAGAGCTTTCAAACCTTACTACTAGCATAACAGTCATAATTTCTTCTCTCACCTTTCCCCATTCCACTGTCTTCTTCTCCAAACCACCTCTTTCCCCTCACTATACCACAGTGAAACAGAGAAAACAATATGCAAGCACAGCACTATATTAAGTTTAAAATATTATTTAAAAACCATTTTTCTTCTGGCTACTCAAGATTTCTGAGCTCTTGGGACTTCTTTTATTTGTTGATGCTGTAATAAGCTTTTTACCAAAAGCCTACAAGCTGATTACAAGTTTGACATGGGAACATTCAACCCATCCTAGCAGCCTGGAGAGATCTGCCTGAGTTTTCAGACGTGCTCTTTTGTTGAACATTTTATTTTCTTTTTGGAATTTTTCAAGCAAACCAAATTAAAGCTGAGATTTGGCAGATAAGAGTCTTTTTAGGACAGGACGTACTCACATTTCAGAATTCTTCCCAACTTCTCCTGCTTTTTCACCACTATTCATGGACTAAAAGAGTCCAAACTAATTTCCCCTGTTGCCTTTTGGAGTTAAGCAAGAAGGCTGCATGCCAAGTGCTTCTCACAACAATCCCATGGAGCTGAGGGCACATCCTCAACACGGACCAACACACAAGTCTCGCACATCATATTTCTGATAATTTGGCAGACCTGCCTTCAACGCGCAGCCCAAAAGGATTTCTCTAACTGGCCGGTCCCCATCGGCCAAGGCAGCCTCCTGCTCCTCCACCTGCAACAGGACAAACCTGAACCTTCTTTAGAAATCCTTTACCAAAAGATTGAACTAAATACCTCCCACCGTCAATCTGAAACAGGCTCCAAGCCGTTGCCAGAGTTCGCCCAGTTCATCCAGGTCTAAAAATAAGCCTGATGTGGGAATCAAAAGGTGGCCAGAAAAGAGCTACTCACTTCATCCCTTATGCGATATTTGTTACAGAAACCATAACTGCACTGCTCTGAAGCTCAGAAAGAGCCTTTGATCTTTATCTACACTGGGGAAAATTTCATTTTTAGAGTTTGCCTTCAGATTGAGTCAGTAAAACTAGGCCACAGACCTTAAGGGCCTGCACTGCAACTTAATGATAGTTTGAATGAGGTTTTAAACTGGACCCATAAAGCACTGCATGGTTGTGATTTTTACTCACAATACATCAATCTAACTTCACATTCCCAGGGTATTAATACTTCTTTTTTTTAAATAAAGTGTCATCTTTTGGGACTCCATATTGATGTTTCTGAATTGTATCTGATATTGCACAAGACCAAAGAACTTTCCCTTTCCTGCTGCATCTAACGTGCCAAAAAGAGTCGGGTGCCTTTGGAGGCAGCAGCAGCAGAGGTTGTCCTGGCTCCACATGGCATCCAGGCTCAAACATGGGGGAGAAAGTCTCAGTGGTCCATGAGTGGAAAGACACTGCAGGAGGAATTGCAGAACGCATTTTTACTCCTTGTTACACCCACCTCTGAAGTATTTGCTGTTACTGTGTTACACGTCTCATGACTCTTGCAACAGGGAGTTTCTTGCAGTACTTCTTTCCCCAAAGTCTTTACTCTCCCCACAATTAAGTACACAAATAACATTTACAGTGCAAAGTCTGTTTTCAGTTGCTTGTAGCTTTCAAAACACTCCCCTTAGGGGATGAAATGTTCTAAGTTTGATCTCAGCCCAGAAGCAACTTCTTTTCTCCCCTCCAACCAACCAGCTTAGATACATGCGTTTGGTTACCCTTCAACAGTGGGAAAGTGAGAAAATAGAGGATTTGGCAGTTTAAGACTCTTCCTTTCACAGGTATTCAGAGATCGCCTTGGGGAACAGGAGAGGGGAAGCATGGGAGCAGCAGGGTAGGAAAAACAAAACACGGGATGTGAACGCTACATGGAGGGACTGGGGGAATAGCAAGGTTGGTCCAGTTGTAATCAATTAGATAACTTCCTAAACAACGTAAAACAACTCTACAGAATTAGTCCTTACACCTCCAAAATAGAAAATAATTTCCTGGGCTCAGCTGGACTGTAGCTAGCTTCTTTACATGATGCTCGATCAGGAGCAGCCAAAGATCTTTGTGTATATAACCATGAAAAATTTGGTATCTCTGATCTCTGCCATACTGTTACCAAAAAAGAAGTGTGACTAAGAAAGCTTGAATGCTACATCAGTATGGCTATCCAGCCCTCTCAGCCTCAGGTCTCTTAGGGTTATTTTCTTTTCACAGGTTGTCTTTTATTTCATGCCCATCATAGGTGGCTATTTTTAGGGGCTATAGAGAGGTGCTGAATGCTGATAAGGCAAATCCTGTATCCCTTAATCCATTGCTAAATCACTCTGCCAGGCTTCAAGGGCACCAGACAGATGGAGTCCACTAGGAAACTGCCCACAGGCTGGCTACTTCAACCCCAGCTCATCTTTAATCCAGCAAGGTTTTGTTCTGGTATTTTAATCGTTGATTGACGGGGAACTTTCTTCCATGCTGGGTTAGGTAAAATATCCATATGTCAGAGGTACTGGGGAATTCGTGAGGCTGTAGATCATAGGAGTGGTGTGAGACAGGATGTGTCTCAAGGGAACCAAGGAAGCCATAAGGAATGTAAAAAGTCACAGGGTTAAAGCCACATTAAGACAGCTGTTATGTTAATGAGAGTTCTGCTTTTCTTCTAGCTGTGGGTCATTGATTTAGAAAAACACGAACAAGGACTTTTTAATTTTATCATATTTTTCCATAGCCCAAAACATCATATCCTAGATCCCATTCGTCTTGCTAACAAAACTTGTCTAGGAAGTTATCTTTATTTTGTTTGTGCATGGATGATTCCCAGGGCTTGATTTGATCTTACCTGGCCCAAGTTTATAGAAGAAGCTGTTTTGCAAGCATTTCACTTAGTAAACACTTTAAGAAACGAGTCACACACCACTGAGTTTGCCTTCCAGACAAATTCATCCGTACATCTGATTTTCTCTCACAGTCATAACAAACATTTACAAGAAATGTGGTGTGAAGCCTTCTGTGAAAACATTTAGCAGATAAAACTGAAAAAGTCTGGACCTTTCAAGAGAGAATCTCAGCAATAGAGCCACATTGCAACAGGCATACTTGTCTTCAAAAGTCAGAGGGGTATTTTGTATTGCTTATTTCAGTTTGCAGCATCTGAATGCCTCAGACTTGAGCTTCAAAGGTCAAAACATGAAGAGTTTCACCAAAGCAACCAAATTTACTTGTATTGTGGGTTAGATGACAAGCTACATTTTGCTTGTCACCCAAGCACACATTTGCTTACGAACACTTGCAACTCAGTCTGATTCAAACTGGGCGTGCTTTTCCAAATTACCCTCGGATGCCAAGCAGTGAAAGAACAGCAGAGGACTCTGCCTGTGGTACCACACATCTCACAGGACATGCTGCTGTGCTGTGAGACAGACTGAATCCTGGTCTAAACTTGAACTCTGGGATGCAGTCTATTCCAGAATTATTTGGCTGCTATATGCGTGTTGTTGGACACCTGAAAATCCAGGTTCATGCTTCCTCCCCCTCAATTTAAATCAACTCCATGGTTTATTCCTCCTTGTTTTAGACAATCCAGATCTGCATGAAGTTTTGAAGACCTAACAGTTATTTTAGGGTTTATTTTCTTTTGAATTAAACTGACAGTTGGAATAAAAAGAACTATTATAATGTTTAAATCAAGTCAACTTCAAAAGCTAACCTAAAAGTAAACTGTAGATACTACACCAGTAACACTGCTCACTTGCATGGCTCTACAGACACATCGTCCTTTTTAAAATATTTTTCTCTTCTCTGTTAATGCCTGAAAGACCCAAACAACAACAGATGAAATCCTAAAATAAACAAACTGAAATAACAGATCTTCTCCAAAGGCGCAGTATTATATTCGTGGTAGGTATGGAACAATTACTGGGGAAAACACAAAACTTTTTTCAAAGAAGTGTTGCCTTAAACAGTTGGGAAACCAATGTCCATGTACAGATGCAAAAACACCCGAGGCTTTAAAAAAAAAAGTGGAGCTTCACATTTTCCTTCTACCCTAGAGTAGGATCACATAAGAATATATAAGGACCTAAGATGCTGGCAGAAAAGGAAATTCCCCTTGTTAGGCAGCTTTTAAATACATACCTGGACACGAGCCTCCGTGAGTTTGGCTCTTTGCGCAAGTTCTTCCCGGGTATAAATATCAGGGTAGTGTGTCCTTTCAAAAGCTCTTTCCAGCTCTTCCAGTTGCTCTGCCGTGAAGGTTGTCCTGCTACGACGCTGCTTCCTTTTTAAAGGTAAATCTGGTTCTGAATCAATGTCAGAGCCTTCATCAGACTGGGGTGCTGGTGCTAAGAAAAGAAATTAAAGACAAAAATTAGCTTTAATTGAGGGGAAGGGAAGCAAAATATTGGATATCTTCTTATATGGAAAAGCTGCTTTTCACCCATGATTCAGAACCGAGTTGGCAAACTTCAAAGAAAGCAAAAAAGGGGAGAAATCAGACAGTTAAATGTTACATTGCACAAATGTGCTCAAATAAAGCATTGCCAAAAGTCCAACTATGAATTAAGAACCTTTTCCTGGTCCAAGAATATTTAAGGACCTTTAGCGATCCTTTTGAGTAAATTAGTTATTCGGTTTCTTTGTTTTAACCCCTTCAGCAGCTCCCAAGTGCTTTAAAAACTTGAGCAGCACTGCTTAGTCCCAAGCAATCAGAGAAGTAGTGCAGCCTTGTTCCTGTCTCTAAATAGTGAACAGGTAAAAATATTTGTCACTCCAGCGTGCATGTTGTATCTTAAACATTCCAACTGTATAGACACGTGTCCTTGAGACCTTCCCTATAGATCCATCACTAAAACCTTATTGCTGAAATGGTTATGGAAGTGGTTACAAAGGCACGCGGAGCACTACTGAAATTAATTCACATACACAACCAAATATTTTCTTCATGTCATGTCTACTATTTGTCCTACACTCTGGACAGCATTTTACACGTTTGTGTTAGTATTTCTCAGCACATTTAAAAGTCCCCACTCATTTGCAGCTTACTTTCCTGTCTTAGGACAGACCAGACGTGTGTTAACATATATAAAAAACCTCAGTATATAGAGAGACATTGGTCAGAGAAGTCTTTGTAAGGATAGCTCAGAGCAAGAGCTTGACTTGACACTTCCAGTTACTAAAGCAAGGAGATTCCAGCACATGTGATGACCAGAACTGAAATACACAGACTGGATACTTCCTTCACCTAAGTTTTCATCATTATGTCTCCTAACCTTGGGAGGTTTTCCAGCATAGAGCACGGCTACACACAGCTGTGCCCGGTGCACTCAGCCAGGCAAAAGTCCAGGACATGACTGCAAAGCAGCCAGGCTGTGATGGACCAAAGGCCTCTCTCAGCATGGCCCAAGTCAGTGCCTAAGGAAAGTCATCAAGAAACAGACCACATACATCCGTGACCCAGGAAGGGGCTACCAACTCTTGCGATCAGCAGTTTGGAGAGGAATCAGAACCAAAACTCTTACTGTGTTTCAGGGACATGGGAAGAGTAAGGTCACACACGCAGACAGACAGACAGCTCCTGGCATTGCTGCTTGTTTCCTTCTGTGCTCCCTGGCAATCAAGGGAACTCCAGCTACAGCCCAGCCACGGCTGAACCCATAGCTATAGCTGTGAAGGCAGCAAAGCCTCCTCCAGTACCTGACCACATTCACCTTCTCCAACAAACAGAAACGAATCAAAAGAGTGTACTTTCAAAGCCAGGCTTCACTTGCATCAGCTGCTGAGCCAGATGACAAGCGTTCTTGCTTGCCTGAGCCTTCAAGGGAAACCACCTAAAGAGGGCAGACACTCCCCAGCGATGCTGAAACTGCTTGTGCAGTTGAAATACAAGCATTGCTTCTACTACTTCAATAATTCCAAATAAATTTTTGATATCCACAATGATTTAAAATAATCTTCTTAATGTGAATTATTTGAAAGTAACTGAGCACAAAAAGCCTGAAAGAAATCACTGTTTCTGAAGCTCTGGCTAAAGCTCCCCACCACGTCCATTTCTAGCTATCTTATATTTTCAATTTCACTCAGGCTTTTTGAACTAATAAATACACCTAATCTATTGGTCTTACAGCATGAGAAAGACAAAGTGCTTTTTCAGCCAATTCACCTAAAGAGTTTATTAATTTCGGCATACCGAAAAAGAACAGTTACTGCTAGACTAAAGGCTCTTATGTGAAAGCTATCTTCATTGCACAGACACTGTCGATATTTTGGATCCAACATATGCAGGACAACAGGAGAGACTCCCACAAAGCTCAGCACCAACATACTGTGAAAACACCCAACGCTCAGAGTCTCTTACTTGCATGGAAGTTTTGCCTCAAGTCAGACTGGATTAAGCTGTTCTGGTTCTTGAGAGCATTGTCCCCGAGAACAAAGAGGAAGAAGTACAAACAACCTATCCCAAACAGTTCAAGTTCATTCCTTATTAAACAGGCAATCTAGGGCATCCCAAAATGTGCATAACACATTGTCTGAGCTAGTGACAAATCCCAACTCTTCTCAGTTGGGGTCCCAAGCAAACTGGTGACACCTGCCTTCTTCAGCAACTGCCAAGTTACAACCCTCCAGAATGGCCTCACGCTGCTGTTCAAGAATAAAAAGAAACATAAGATACTTAAAATATCGTTTCCCTATGTTAGCCTCAGATAAAAATCAGCCACCTTAAGCAGAACAGCTATTCCTGACAAGCTAGACTAATGGAACAGAGCTCAGGAAGATCCCTTTCGGAGACAACTTCCCTGACAAAAGTTGCCTTTGACTGTGTACGATGCATCTTCAGATCTCAGGAACTCTTTCAATACTCTCTTTCAGACTCTACATGTATGTATGGAACTTCAAATATCTACATGTATGCCTATAAAAAGCCAGCTTAAACTATGCAATTTAAAGTGGATACTTATTGCTAAATTTCTGAAGTTAATTCCCTTACCAACTGGTTGAGAACTATAAGGAGAGCCATAATGATTTTTCTAAAAATGTTTTAGGAAGACTTAGCAAGATCTTGTGATGTTTGCCTGCACCTTGCATCCATGCAGCAATGAAAATGCAGTACTGAAACACTGAATTTCATTTTCGCTTTAGCTTTATACTTCATTAAGCCGTATATAAAAGGCACAAAGGTAAACCAGTCAGAAAAAAACTGAACAAAGATCTAAGAGTCCAGAACAATAAGTCTAAGCGCAAACATTTAGAGAGAAAGCAATAAAATTAAAGTAGGGAGGAAACTTAGTATCAAATGAAATGGCTTTCATATCAGTCTGATTTCACTGGTGTTACCCTTCACCAGGCCTGGCTGCTCTGTGCAACTTCATTGAAAACACTGAGTTCCTTTGTCTTGTCTGATCTGCAATATTAAAATCAGACAAATGTAATCTCAAATCTTAGCTACGTGTCTGTACTACAATCTGCACTATTTTTATTTCTTATGAAGTCTTATTAAATATTATTCATTCCAAGGAAGTCTTTACTCTTATTTTTTCCTATTAAAATGTCATTATTAGGCTTTTATATAGGTGAGAAGCCAATCAGATTATCAGCTAAGCACATAAATTGGACACACCACAGCCTTTAAAGACACAGCATTTCTTTTATATACACTCAGTGTATACACTTAGTGTACTGCCCTTTTGGTAAGCAGTATCTCAGTAACAGATCCACCAACTTCCATGATATAAGAAGACACTGTTCAGCATAGGCAAAGGTGGTGAGGTTTTAGCTGGGTTATTTCTATCTCCATCACCTCCACAGATGCACAACATGCGTATCACTAACCTTCACAGTTGTCCTGATGATATTAATGCTCTAACCTCTCGAGCTATAAATAAGAGAAAGAAGGAGACTCACCGGTGCCCTGGAGATCCCTGGCCAGACCCCTCAGTATCACCGATACCCACCTACTGCACAGCGCAAAATAGGAGAGGCAGCCAAAGGCACTACCACAGTGGCTGAGCCCTGAAGTTTAACTAAAGATGGAATTAAAGAGTAAATTTTTTGTCCCTTAACCCCTTGTCTGGTGGCCCTAGGAAGTGCTGCATGCCGGTCATCACCATGATACGCAAAAAACCTCTGCCCAGTGTCATAGGCATGCGGTCACCTGGAGCTCTGTAACTATTCCCTTTCCAAACACCATAAATAGACACATTGGGGCAAAAATGGAACAACAAACCTCACAAGAGGTCATTCTGTGGGTTGTTCTTCCTCTTGGCAAGACATATCATTTGAATAATTAAACAAAAAAACCATGACAACCATTTAAACCCCATACATTACAGCTGCAGCACAGCGCACCTGACAAACGCAGGCAGAGAGGCTGTCTTTCTGCGACCTGTGAAGGCACAACTTCTCTGGCAATCCTTTAGTCTCCGGGAAATTGTTTAACAAAATATTACACAGCCTCTTCCTCTAAGCACAACAGCCTGAGGTCTACCCTAGATAAATTCTGTCTCACTGTGGATCTCACTAAAATAAGACCAAAAAACCTCACAATATACCAAAGGCCAGGGAGGGCTCTGGTGGCAGTTTCATTTGCTAGCTATCCTTCCCAGATCTTCCCCTTTCTTTATTTGTGCAAGATTAATTTCACAGGCTCTTCCCCTCGTGCCAAATCTCTATTACTTAAGGCTGCGGCCGGGACATGCCCAGCACCGGGAGGCAGCGGGTACCGGGGGACTGCCGATGGCTGCCTGCTCCTCACAGCCTTTCATGCCCAAAGAGACGCGAGTGACCTCCCTCGTGTTTACTCGGGTGCAGGCGAGGAGTGCAGCAGGGCTGCTACCCCCACACAAACCCACAGTAAATGACAAATGACACTTTCTCTTTGTGATCTTTGGGATTTTTGTTGACTTATTTGGAGGCTTTTGTTGGGCCCTAAGAAACGGCCTGTGGCTGAGGCCTATTCGGCCGATTTCCACGCTCCATCTGTGGTATCCATCAGCAGGGCCTTTGCCCGCATTCAGGGCTCTGACACCTGCCTGGCAGGATGCGGGAGGCACAAAGGCGGCTGCTGCGGACGCGAGGGGGGCGGTGGGCCAAGGGGGCCGGGGAGGGCAGCCAGGGTGAAGGGGATGCACAGCAGGGGTTAATCCAAGCTACCCCCTCCCCAAACCTCAGCACCTGGAGGCGTCTCTCTCCCTGCCAGAGGTAAGGAGGCTCAAATGAAACCCTCCATCATATTGTGGGTGAATTAATGACAAGAGGGAGGGAGAGACCGGGAAGTCGTCACAGGATGTGGGCCGTCAGAGTCACCTCAGGCACTAGCTAAATAAACCTGGACCAGGAACAGGGGTAG